CATCTCACGATTGTATGTGTGTGGAGTGATATCTGTGTGAGTCAGTCTATGTGAGTCAGTCCTTTTATCAGACTTCTGCTGCATACATGCTCATCCTATATTGGTTGATCTTTGGTTCTGCCCCATACTCGTTGATACTTTCCAAATCAGCTCTGTATTACTATCGAGTTCAAAGTTGCAATTTTTTTCTTTTCTTTTTTCGGTATTCTGTTTATTTCGGCATTTCCGTTTCAATTCGGTATTCGGACTTGTAATTCGGATTTCTGTTTTACTCCGGTATGCTGTTTAATTTGAGTTCCGACAAATTGATACTAATCCGACATTCTGTTTAATTCGGATTTCTGATTATTGATTCGTGATTAGGTTGAAATCAGTACTCTGTTTAATTCGGCATTCTGATTTTCTATTCGGTTTCCGTTTTTATAATTCAGCATTCTGATTTTAATCCTGTATTTCGTTTTCTAAATCGGCATTTCCGTTTCATTGCAGTATGGGAAATTAGGGTTACGAAAATTTTTGATTTTCAATCAACTTGGGCAATTCGAACGTTTTGGAACCGTAAATCCGGAAATTCCGCGGAATCGCGGAAAATTAGGGTTGGACTCCGAAATTTTCGCGATTTTTTTTTTCTTTCCCTTGTTTGAGAAATTCCGAAAACGGATTTAGGCCTTTAAAAATCGGATTTTGCCGGTGGAAATTCCCGAAATTTCACGTTTTTGAAAATTCGAGTGTTTTTCTCTGGATTTTTTCGAAATTTTTTGTTGGCAAACTAATCCGAATCTGACCCTCAACATTGCAACTTCCGGGTAGTTCACTAATTAACGGTGAACTCCCGGACTCAAAGATGATCTCAACGGATACCTAATCTTGATACAATTCAAATTCGTTCATTATCATTATTGCAAACATTGTTTTATTGATTATCATTAAGAAATCATTATTGCAAACATTGTTTTATTGATTATCATTAAGAAATCATTATTGCAAACATTGTTTTATTGATTATCATTAAGAATTATTATTTCGTCATTAATCATTAATTAAACTTTATTGATTAAATAATTCGTTATTATTTTCTTATTACGAATTTTTGCGTTGTTTACAGGATTTTTTTTTTTTTTCTTCTGTTTGATTAGGTGTCTAAAGTCCATCAGTGGGACAGGGACTGTATGCGAAGTGCTTGATTGTTCTACCCCTATTCCCACTCTCCCTACCTTCCTCGTAATCTGTGACCACCGGGATTTCTCAAGTACCACATCAGCTAGAACTGATGTCGATGGAACAGGACACCGGGGCACTGCCACGACGCAGTGCCAGGCTTGCAGTTCGCGCCCGTTCTGTGGTACCTCCACGCACCAAGTATCAGCAACAGCGAATCAGCAGGCGGACGACTCCAGCAGCATCGAATACAACATTGACAGTACTGGTTCCCATCGGAGTTCTTCCCGCATGTCCGGTCCAAGGGGCCCATGAACCGTTGGCTGACTACCTTGGGCGGCTACAGGTATTCACGGATGCCGTAGCTACCGCCAAGGCTCAGCAGGAGGCAGCAGAGGCAGAACGTCAGCGGCTGGCCAATGAGGCGGCAGCCCAAGCTCAACAGACTGCTGAGGCTGACGCAGCGGCACAAGACAGACGGAATGCCGCCAGCACGGAGTCCCTGATTCAAAGTGAGAATCAGTGGACAACGCTACTCCAAGGCATGTTCTTTGTGCCTACGGGCGCGCGTGCCGCAGCAACACAGCAGCAGCAACAGCAACAGTTGTTGAACTCAACTCTCGCGCGCATCAACAACATTGAGGCTAAGACCTCAGCAGCGCCAGGCTGCACGACAGACGCGACGAAGCAGCTCAACGAGCGCATCGATCACGTCGTCACCATCATTGGCGAACTAGGTGATTTCACTAGTCCGGCCACGATCAGCAGCACGGCGGCCGCCATCAAGACGAGCATCACCAAACTGCAGACAAGACTGGACGCCGCTACTAAGAATTACAAGATGCCGCACTTCGACGTCAGCAAGTTCGACGACTACAACAAGTCGGACGCCTTGACATGGTGGCAAAGTTTCCTCACGGAAGCATCATGCCGCACTGTCCCGGCTGACGACATGATGAAGGCGCTCTACTTACAACTGATTGGAGGAGTGCAGGCATGGATGAACCATCTGGCGGCTACCAAGAAATGCACCATCGCCGAACTCCACACGCACATCACGTGGAAGGAGTTCGAGAAGCTATGGTTCACTCGGTTCATGGTCCGCAACGTCGTGAAGGCGGCCATGAACGAGGTGTACACCTGCTCTCAAGGGAGTATGCCAACTCGAGACTGGACAACCAAGTGGCAAAAGATAGTGACCACGCCAGGCTTCGATTTGAGTTTTACTAACCAATGATCCGAGTTCGTCTCACGATCGTGCGCAGGACTGCGAACCGCACTCGGCAACGAGTATGATTACGCCTCATTCCAGGCCATCCTGGATCGTGCGAACTTGGTCATCCAAACGGATGACAAACGAACGGCAGTTCTAGCCGCATTATGTGGCTAAGCAGGGCTATCAACGACCGACATATAACAATGCCGTGATTTTTGACGAAACAATCGATCTCCACGCTGCAGCAGCATCCTCGAGTGCGGAGGAATTGTAGCAGCGCTCCCGCCGAAGCGTCCCAAGAGAGTTCGGAAGAACAAGGCGACACAAGAGACGACATGGACGGGAACTGGGCAGCAGCCATGGACGACATACAAGATAACCAAGGAAATCTATGACCTTCGTCAACAGTATGGATATTGCCTTTGGTGCAATGGAGTCACTCACTTGACCGCACAATGCCCCGAAAAGGGCAAGGCACGCGTACCCCGTCCAACTAACTCGGGAAACTGAGTCACGCAAGAAGAGGGGCGACGTCTCTCCTCACTCCGCCGGACCCGGTTGCCTTGCTAGCAATCGATGTCACTACCGGGGAGCATGCGTTAGTCGCTGATTCTCGTGCTATGTACGAGGATTATGCCGCCTAGCTGGTACCACCACTAGACCAGCCGAGCCACATGCACTTAGATTGCGTATGCGCAGCCTGTACACCGTTGGCAAGTGATCCGGTCAGTTCGCCACTGATTTTCGAGGACTCGACGGCGTGGTCAAGACTTGAGGAGCTTGACCCGTTCACCAAAGAGGACTTCGCTTGGATGCCTCTACCCTCGACCGGAACCTTGCCAAGGCCGCATTGCAACGCTTTGATGGCAAATCTACGCTCCTATTTTCACACTACAGTACGAGCTCCGTTGACGGACGACGGGGTAGCGGTTGTCGATCTCTGCTCCTATCTTGCGAAGATTGACCGCGAGTACGCCACCCAAAGGTACGCTGAAACCGACGCTCCTTTGCTCTATATCCACATTCAAATCGGAAAGGCAACCCTTAGTGCCTTGATTGATTGCGGAGCGTCTCGCAACTTCATGAGCCAAGCCTTTATGGCCCGCGCAGGTCTTGGCCCGCGCGTTCGAAGGAAGACGCAACCTACGCAAGTTACACTCGTGGACGGCCGCACACACAAGTCAATTGGTCGACGACGTTCCAATATACTTTGCGCCACTTGCGTGCGAGCCGGTGTCTTTTGACATCCTCGACACCAAGTTCGACATGATTTTAGGCATGTCTTGGTTGCGTAGCGCCGATCATCCGGTGAACTTCCACGACCGGACCGTTCACATCCGTGATCGGAACGGAGTGTTAGTCACATGTACGGTCGCGACCCCTCACACTTCGATTGCTTGTCGCGTGGTTTCCGTTGCGAGAATTCGCGACGCCATAGCTCGGAATGACGTCGAGGAGATGGGCCTTGTATTCTTGCATGCTCTCCCCTCGCCGGACGGACCAGCCGCGTCACCGTCGGACCCACGCATCACTCACCTCTTGAACGAGTATGGAGACGTCTTCGAGGCTCCCACCGGAACGGTTCCGGATCGGCCCATACGTCACGGGATCACTCTCGAGGTTGGCGCCGTCCCTCCGCGTGGATGTATCTACCGCATGAGCGAAGAGGAACTCGAGGTGCTTCGCGCACAACTCGATGACCTTCTCGACAAAGGCTGGATTCGCCCTAGTTGCTCGCCATACGGTGCCCCTATTCTCTTCGTCCGGAAGAAGAACAAAGATTTACGGTTATGCATCAACTATCGCAACGCACAAACCGTAAAGAACGTCGGCCCTCTCCCTCGGATTGATGATCTCCTTGAGCGGTTAGGCGGCGCGACGTACTTCTCGAAGTTGGACTTGAAGTCGGGTTACCACCAGATTGAAATCCAGCCTCAAGATCGGTACAAGACCGCGTTCAAGACGCGGTACGGGCATTTTGAGTGGGTCGTCATGCCATTTGGCCTCACCAATGCCCCCGCGACTTTCCAAGCAGCTATGACGACTGAGTTTCGCGACTTGCTCGATCGTAGCGTCCTCATCTACCTCGACGACATCTTGGTTTATAGTAGGACGTTGGACGAACACATCGTACACCTTCGCACTGTTTTGGATCATTTGAGACTAGCGAAGTACAAAGCGAATTCGACAAGTGCGAGTTCGCCAAGCAGGAGCTTAAGTACTTGGGTCATTTTGTCACGCCGAAAGGCATTCGTCCCTTAGCGGACAAGATCCAAGCCATCGTGGATTGGCCGGAACCCCGTTGCACGACGGATGTACGCTCTTTCATGGGTTTGGCTGGATATTATCAGCGCTTCGTCGAGTCATACTCGAAAGTGGCCGCTCCTTTGTCGAGACTTCAGTCCTTCGAGTTCGACGACGCAGCCCGTGGCGCGTTCACTACGTTGAAGGCAACGATGCAAGTCGCACCTGCCCTCCGTATGTACGACCCCACCCTTCCCACCCAAGTGACTACGGACGCTTCAGGATACGATATTGGTGCGGTGTTGGAACAGTGTCACGAGGACGGTTGGCATCCGGTCGAGTATTTCTCCCAAAAGGTGCCTCTCGTCAACACTCTCGATGACGCTAGGAAGAGAGAGCTACTCGCGTTCGTCACTGTTCTCAAACAGTGGCGCCACTTTCTTTTCGGCCGTCGGCGTGTTAAATGGAATACGGACAACAATCCGTTGACCTTTTACAAAACGCAGGATACGGTCACTAGCACGATCGGTCGATGGATGCATTACATCGACCAGTTCGACTTTGACCCGTGCCACATTCCCGGTCCCGCCAATCGAGTTGCGAACGCCCTCTCATGACGGCCCGATTTTTGTGCCATTGTGACCATGGCATTCGACCTCGATGACGATCTGCAGCCGGATTTCGTCAAAGGCTGCAAGTCTGATCCGACTTACTCTACGCTTTACGTAGAGCTTTCATCGGATCACCCGCCGGCTAGCCACTATCGGATTTCCGACGGGTTCCTTCTCCTTCACACGAGAGGAAAGGACTTGTTAGTTGTGCCCCAAAATCGCATMTTACGGACTYGTCTTCTCGGCGAATTCCACGAYGCACGACTTTCGGCACACCTTGGCGTGAACCGCAYAYTAGCACGCCTCCGCCAGCGTTTTCACTGGCCCGACGTCCTTCATGACGTCACGAGGTACATTGAGTCATGTGCAGTTTGCCACCGTAACAAGGGTCGATCTCGAGTCCCCTTCGGCGAACTGAAACCGTTGCCGATTCCTCGGGCACCGCGCCTCTCCATTGCTATGGACGTGACAGGCCCATTCCCCTGCGATCGCCATGGCCATGAGGGTATTCTCACGGTTGTTGACCTTTGAGCAAGTATGCTCGCTTCCTTCCTTGCAAGTATCATGCTGCAGCGCCTGAGCTCGCACGAGTCTTGCACACCGGTTGGATTACCAGCCATGGTGTTCAGGAAGACATAGTGAGCGACCGAGATACTCGCTTCATGTCGGCCTTTTCGACTTCCCTCATGGCCGAGTCCGGTACGACAATGAAGCCGAGCTCGGCTCGACACTTGCAGATGGATGGCCAGACGGAGCGAGCGCACCAGACCGCTCAGATGATGTTGCGTATCCGTCCCGACCAGAAAGATTGGGCTGACCGGCTTCTCGACATCGAGTTCGCCTATAACACTTCGGTGCACCCGGCGATCTGCGTCACACCATTCGAGCTACATCATGGTGGAGAGAAAGCACGGATCTTCGCTGATCTCCTTTTGCCACAGGCTGCCAACATAGACGTCCCTTGCTCTCCCGCTTCCGTTCGGAAGTACCGGGACTTGCTGATCAAAGTCCGCGCGAATATGCAAAAGGCTCAAATCTGCATGCAGCAGCAAGCCAACCGACGTCGACTTCCATGTCCTTTCTGCGAGGGAGACCTTGTTTGGGTCCTCTCCGAGGAATTTGCGCTCGAGCAGGACGTTTCGCGCAAACTCCTTCCGAAATGGTTCGGACCATGGGAAGTCACTTCTGCTGTTGGAGACGACCCCGCAGGTCCTTCCTTTGTGGTCAACATTCCTCCGCACCTTACAGTGCACCGGGTCTTCCACCCGTCAAAGCTGGCCATCTACACGCCACCTTCCGCCGACGAGTTCCCCGGCCGTCGATCACAGGATCCGCCTTCTATGGACGGACATCAGGAAGTGGACCGAGTCATCACGCACCGCAAGTATGGCAACAAGCCAATGCAGTTCAAAGTCATATTCAGGCAATGTGCGCCTGATGACACTCGGTGGATCTCTAGTGCAGACTTGCAGACTTCTTCACCCCTTATCTTCGCCGACTATGAGAAGCGACGCCTTGCCAAGGAAGCAGCTCGTCCCACCCGACCCATCCTGGTATCGGACAGACAACTCTGCCCTCGCAGGTAGCCCGGTCTTTTAAGAGGGGGAGTGTGTTACATCTTCGACGCCACACGGGCCCTACCGGACCCGACTTAGGGCCACAGGGACACACTAGGGCCTAAAGGCCCGACCTTGGGGTACTACAGGCCGTAAAGGCCTCATTTTGGACCAGACCCGACGGGCAGGCCCAAACGACATTACCGTTTGGGCCTGACGGCGCTCTTGAGGCTGCCGCCCGCCGGTTGGGGCTKAACCGTCAATCTTGACGGTTCAGGGCACGGCCAGGCCTCGCAGCATAGAGGCSGGCCTCTGCCCCACCGKTAGAAAAGTACCGGTCCAGCCTCAYTTCGGCATCGAACCACCGGCACTCTAGCGGTGCGTTATGGTATAGCGCCAGAGCGCTAGCGCTATTCTTAGCGCAGGAGCACGAGGAGCAGCGGCAGCAGCAGTATCGCAGCAGCGGCGACTGAGCAGATCGGCGGCCATAGCCGCCTGAGGTATCGGGAGCCGGGGGTTCTCTTCTCCCTCCTGTCGCCAGTCCCCTCTCTCTCTCTCTCTCCTCCTCGACTCCTTCTTCTTCTTCTTCAGACTTCTTCTTCTTCTTCTTCTTCTTCTTCTTCTTCTTCTTCTTCTTCTTCTTCTTCTTCTTCTTCTTCAGACTGGAGACTTATACTAGTTGGACAGAGATCAGTGTTGGACTTCGGTGGTAAGAGGCTGTGGTACTTACCGGGTTTGAGACTTGGAGATTGTTGGGGATGATACTCGGCTGCATCACAGATTGGACACCGGTTACATTAGGACTCTGTATCTCCGACATTGGTGACTTCTTGTCCGCGACATTTGATCTTGTTCGATGACATTTTGGATTACCATATCGGTGACCTACTGGTTTCTATCTCGGTGACATSTGGTGCTACCTACATCTCCCACCTCCTTCGTCTCTCCTCCCACCTTTCATCTGTGTATGTGTGTACGGGGCTGAGCATCGTCTATGCATGGCTCAGACCCCACCATCTCACGATTGTATGTGTGTGGAGTGATATCTGTGTGAGTCAGTCTATGTGAGTCAGTCCTTTTATCAGACTTCTGCTGCATACATGCTCATCNCATCTCACGATTGTATGTGTGTGGAGTGATATCTGTGTGAGTCAGTCTATGTGAGTCAGTCCTTTTATCAGACTTCTGCTGCATACATGCTCATCTTATATTGGTTGATTTTTGGTTCTGCCCCATACTCGTTGATACTTTCACGAGTATGTAACAGTCACGCTGGGCCCTTTGCATTCTTTAAGAGTATAGGGAAGAGTTCCCCCAGACCGTAACCTGCGCGGTCATTGCATGTACTTGAAGGACTCAGGTTTAAATCTGAAGCCAGTCCAACTGGCATGAGAATGTCCGGAGTCCGTCCCGTAGGGTGGAAAATAGCAGTATCAGACCCCGATACTTAGTTTGCAGGGCCCGACTCGAGCTTGGATATTCAGCAATGTCTGTAATTTCAGAGTGAAATCATGGGATCTATTCTGTGAGCTTAGTTGCAAATCTGCAGCAGATTAGGTTTACGCCGGAGTACCAATCATCACTTGACTAATGGAAACAACCACTTACTTGAGACCAAATTGCAGGTTGATTTAGTCGGCCGCATTCCCGCTCCGCAGGTTGATCTGGAGTACTGCTACGGTTTTCTGCTCAAGGGACCTTTTGTGCGGCATCTGAGGAAAGTTTGCAGTCGCTTTGTATTTTTCCTTACCCCCTGGAGGTTGTAATATGCAAGAAATGCCAAGAATCAATGGACTCAGGCCTTGAATTGCACTCAGCTCATCCAAGCTGATTTGCCATCTATCCTACCCAAAAAGTGGCTGCGCTAAGGTCTCCGTGCGATTTTTTTTGCTTGTTAGGCTCAGATTCATGGTCGAGCTTAGTGACGCTTGTGTTCTGCCAGTGGAAGAGTTCTAGGCTTGTTTTGCCGATATCTGAATCCTTCGTTTTAATGGAAGTCCTTCGTTTGCATTTTAGTGTGTCAATATTATCAAACGTGAACCGCGAGACTCCCTCTGGGCTTCTGATCGCTCGCCGACAGACTGGATTCTTATGGGGTCTGAATTGAGTGGGGGTTAAGCTCCGTATAATCGCCTCATCTGAGCTCAGAATGAAAGCAGAACGTGAATTTCATATATGGGCATGCACTGTGTGAAGTATTGCAGGCACAAGTGTTATATGGACCTCCTCTTTCCTCCTCATCACTGCTGCTGCCATCATGCTCCTCCGAACTTCGTCATCACTGTGCATGCAGGCTGTGCTAACATAGGCCAGGGAGCGAGAGAAGATGGCGCCCTGCAACTCGCCGTAGGAGAGGGAGAACATGGAGCCCTGCAACTCGCCGTACTATTTTCCCCAATTTAGGTAGGTGTGACTGTACCGACTATTGGCTCTTCTCTTTTGATGAGCTTCTGCACAGCGTATCTGGGCATCACCTCTGCTTCATCTTCCCCCCCTCTATTAGAAGATTGTGGTATGTAAAACCACGATTTCGAAAACTTGAAGTCCAAAGATCCAATATTAAATTCCCCCTAGGCGGGAGTTGTCTCTATGTCGTAGAATGAAAAGACTAAAAAGTTCAAATTGACAGCAAGTAACATTAACTCAATTGACATTGACATAATAAAGATATTCTTTCTATTTAAAAAGATTCCCCAAATACCTAAAAAAAAAAAGAATGTCCTATCTATCTATCTATCAAGTAAAAGAGAATCACTCTGCAAAGCAAATGAAGTAATGAGCAGACATGATGAGGCACACGGAAACCATTCTTTTTGCCTTTCTCTCTGAAGTTCTATCTACCCTCACTTCTTTTTTTTCATTTCTTCTCTCAGGTCTTCCTTTACTGTGCCTTGTTGTTGTACTTGAGCACGAGCTGCCTGAGAGGCGAAGGGAGAGGGGACAGAGAGAGAGGAGAGCTGGAGAACAGGAGAACGGAGGGAAAGTATTTACATGTATGTAAATGTAGTACTATGTGGTGTGTACGCGAATGGGTTATGCATAGTTTTGGGGCTGAAGTTGCAGAATCCGTATGACTGCTTTGAACCAAATTCATGTTTTCCTGCTATTAATTATGATCATGTGTTTATCTTTTCAGCAGGAAGGGCGGCGTCGGTCTTCCAGCACTCTGTCTTCTCAGCATGTCCTGGAGCTGCAATATACTTGCGCTGGTGCTGCTCTGCACCAGATGACTTAAATTTGCCTTCTGCAGGGATGGGAGAAGAGCCTGATGATGATTTTCCCTGATTCTCCTTCAGGTGTTTGGTGGTCTGTTGTCAAGTTGCATTGCACTCGGCCTCGTCGCTTCGTGTTCATTCACGGAGGTAGTGCAACGTAGACTGCTGTTTCTGACAATGGCGATAACAGTACCCCGAAGAGTATCCATGAGGAAATCTGTTCTTGCTGGTGGGGTGGTCGCTGCTGTGCTTCTTGTCATTTTCGTTTTCCTCGCTTTCAATTCTTTATCCCTCAGTCTTCAGGCAAAAACTGTTCTGCAGAATGGACTTAGTGGGACCCCTGGGTCTGGCATCCTTGAAGGAGATTTTATCAGTGTGCACGGATCGGTAGTTGCAAGGAGGGCTGCGGACCTTGCTAACAATCGTTTTGTTGCTTGTACCAACTGGTGTAAAGAGGCCAACGATCGTGCACACCAGTGCATACTGCAAAGTGGAACGAGCGAAGACATCAATGCTGTGAACAACTCGAGCCCTGCTGCCGAGGATCTCTTGACCGCCAGTGTCGAGGGGTACGAAGAGCTATCAGCGCGTGATGTTCTCCAAGTGACAGGATCGCCGAACCAGCAGCAGCAGCAGCAGCAGATGACAGACACAGGACTGCAGCTGGGAAGGGCGGCTTCGGCAGGTGTTGATCCATTTTGCTATGGCACTGCTAATCACAGTGCTTGGGGCAAAATGGATGACCGCCTCACGGGGTCTGGCTCTGTCCAGCGGTTCCTGTATATGATGAGCCTTGCGAGCCAAGCCGTATTTGGTGGTCGTGCTAAGGAATCAAGTGCGGACCCCTCTCAGTTTGCCAACATGAATACCGCAGATATCGAGTTGCTAGAAGTGGCCTCCGAGAGGGCGAACCTCGCACCAAAGATTGCCTTCATGTTCCTTGTACGGGATTCGTTGACCTTTGCCCCTCTATGGGAGAAGATATTCCATGGGCATGAGAACCAGTACTCGGTTTATGTACATGCGACGGAGGCGTACAAACGCGGCCCGCAGGAGTCAGATGTGTTTGAGAAGAGCGTGATTTGCAGCAAACCGGTGAAGTGGGGGCGACCATCCCTCGTCGATGCCGAAAGACGATTAATTGCGAGCGCAATTCTTGATCCTCTTAACCAAAAGTTTGTCCTTTTGTCGGAGTCGTGCATCCCCGTGCGAAACTTCTCTTTCATTTACAGCTATTTAATGGACACATCGAAGAGCTTCGTCGAGATCGGACTTTTCCCAGATCGATATCCACCAGAACTCGCCCCGCTTGTGAAAGTCGAACAGTTTCGAAAAGGTTCTCAATGGGTAACCCTGAACCGTGTGCACGCGGCACTGGTTGTGGCGGACCGGGTCTATTACCCACCTTTCATGAGATGGTGCCAGGGTTTTCCGCGGAGGTTTTGTATTGGCTTTGCCACGAAGCGACGCTGCTGGAACTTCCCTAACGTTCTCTGTTTCGCTGATGAACACTACATGCAAACGATGCTCCACATTCTGGACGAGGGTGCCGTCCACCCGCGGACGTTGACCTGGCTTGAGTGGATATGGCAAAGTCCACACCCTCGCACACGCGGAGCCGGTGATACTGACCTCGCCTTGCTGAAGCAGATCCAAAATGATGCGACTTGTGAATGGAATGGGCTAAACCGGGAATGCTTCTTGTTCGCCCGGAAGTTCTCCAAAGATGCATTGCCAATCATCCTGAGCCTCGGCAAGCAGCTGCAGCTATGGTGATTCCGGTTACCGTCCTTTTCTTCATTACGTGCTCACCACTTTTCAATTAGCGCTTCTTGATCGTGATCAACATGCTCGTTGGCGGTGCCTGTCCAGACTGTCACTTTTCCATCCTTCTATTGCACTTCCTACGCTTACACATGGACACTCTGCTGCGATATTTATTGCCTGTTCCCTGCTCTGTCTTCCTGCCGTGCATGCACTCACGCTCCCTCTCCCTGTTTTGCTCGTGCCATTTTGTCACTGGAACTTTGTTCCATGTCTATCCATCCTGTGTCCGCTTACTGCGCTCAACTTGGACGAGCGGATATTAATCGTAGTGCATGATTTGCCCTAAGATCTACGCGGTGTAGCTGTTTGTTGGAGCCAGGGAAGTCTGTTAAGTACGTTTGATTCGTCTCCTTCCTCTTCCTTATGTGTGCTCTCTGACTGACAGTGCAAGTGGAGCGGCTCTGTTTCGTTGGAAAAGTGAAACAAAGTACTTCTCTCCAGTGCCGGTGCACAATGGAAAGCTCCCTCCAGTGGCAAGCTCTCTCAGGGAAACAATGGGGTTGGCTTTCTTCATCGTCTTTTCCTGTTCAGCACTTTCTGGATCCATTTTGACGCTTCCAGTACTCGTAGTGAATAGTCCTGCTGCTGCTGCTGCTGCTGCTGTTTATAGTGGTCGTTCTTAGACTCTGTGTTGACTACCGATTCGATCCATCTCGACCAGAGATGGGTCATGATTGAGTGACAGTTGGCATCGTAGGTGTAGTATGGCCTGACCATATCGCTGCGTTTTGAAGCATGTGCGGACTGGGCTGGTGATCCTAGTCTCCAAGTCGGTCCAGACACGAGGCTCATCACACCATCTTCTTTGGTAGGACCAAAGCTGTTGCTGTTGGCAGGCTCTTAGGTTGAATGGTCCGTTTATCAGGTGTTTAATTGTTCCCTATCACCTCATCCCTCCATCCCTCCATCCCTCCATCCCTCCATCCCTCCATCCCTCCACCCCTCCATTGCTCTTTCCCTTATCTGATTTGATGTTTTTCAATGCGACGTGTTTTGATTTGAATTGATTTGTTTTGCAATCGGTTGACTTTCCCAACTTCGATTCACAAACTCCGAATTCTTTCGTCCAAAACTCCTCCTCCTCTTCATCCTCATCCTCCTTCCCCCCCCCCCCCCCCCTCCCCCCCCTCCTTCTTCTTCTGGCTGCCCCATGTGTTGTTGATCTGCTGCTGCTCTGCGTGCTCTTAGTCTTGTTGTTCCACATGTTGTTCATGCCGCTGCTGGTGCTATACACCCCCATGTGCTCTTTTTCCCGGACTCTATGCCATGCTGCTGCTGCTACCCAACGTCTGCCTTGCACTGTTGTGCCTTGTTGACTCTCTGAGGAGGGACTATCACAAACCATGCACTATTGTGCTCGATCCTTTGCTGCACAATGGTACGATCCACCTCTTTGAGGGACTTGGCTGCAACACTGTCCACCTCGTTATTGATATGTGTCGCCTCCTGCGACCACAGGCTCAGTGCAGTCGATGACGAAAGGCAGATCCTTGTCCAGGCTAACTGGGTTAATGATTGGAGTGAACCTTGCGATGCTGTCGCTCTCATGTGGAGACTCACCACCGCTGGATCAAGGTGGACGCAGCCGGAAGTTCCTCCTCGTCCTCTCTCTTCATCCTCGCCATTTCGGCTTTGCTCTTCCCGTCGCGTGTCGATTGCCTTTCCTTTTTCCGCATGTTTTCCTTTCCCAGCCTTAATGAAGTCCTCGTTGCTGCCCTCAGAGCTGGAGGTGTGTGTCATCCTCGTACTCTTCCCTGTTCAGAATCCTCCATACCAGGGCTTTATTTAGTTTGTCTCTCTTGCCACCATCTCCTCCTCCTCCAAGGGCCTCGGCAAAGGTGCTAGGTTCTTCTATGCCCGGGGGGGCTTTGGATCGTCCAAGAATACGCCCCACACATTCAGGAGGTTGCACTTCAGACCTTGATGCTCTATATTGAGCTGTGGATCCCAAAGTATGTACGCTAACTTCGCCACCACCTTGGAGGTGGAGAGATTGTTCCTCTTCTTGGCGAACCAAATTAATGGTGGACCAGTGTCTCTCAGTGGGTGTTGCGGTGCTGCACAGCGTAGTCAATCTCGTGGCAATCCTCTGAATGTCTAGGTGGTTGCACCCATACGCTGCCTACCACTATCAGGGAACTATCTCCCCCATCAGACTTGTCCCACATTGGTTCCTTCCTCCGCTGGTCTTTCCTTCGGCGGCGCTCAGTGGAGCACCCATGGTATTTGCCATACGTCCAAGTGGGACTGTAGTGCCCCTCGATGCTCCCCCTCGACTGGGATATGAGAAACTTGGTCAGGTTGTGCACCAGGGTGAAATCCATGTCAAGCAACCACTCAAGGTCTCTCCAATTGGGAGAGGAGAGGAAGGCTGCAGGATCGTTTTGCAATGGTCGTCCACAAGACTGAAATTCTCCTCTGGCTGCTCCTCTATGAGGCTGTCGATGTTGTTCAGACAGGTGCGAAGCATGCCGCCAAACCGTCCAGCTGCAAAGGTATATTATCGTATCCATGTCTATCCTTCGCAACATCTGATTTGTAGGCCACCTAACTTTCACCTCGGTCTCAACCTCACCGCACCGTTCAGCTAAGCTGAACCAGTGGAAGATGTTCTTTGCCTTCTTCTCCTCCTTTCATCATGTCCTTGAGCACCCACCTGCTGTCAACAAGTCCAACCACCTCTATGGGCAGAACGAGGGTCTTCTTCATGAATTAATGATCTGGAGTGCGTGCTACTTTTTATGAACCTCACGACTGTCTTCGCTTGCCTCTTGATCGGCACCAGCAAGCCAAGGTTGAAATGTTCAGAGTGTATGTTGCGCATGGGCACCATAAAATCTTTGCAGTATCTAGCCGGCGCTGTAAAATCATTAAAGCCCTCCTGTTCATTCCAACATTGTCATTGCAAATGACATTTACCATCTGCCCTCCATTCTCTCTGATCACCTCCTTCCTCGAGTTTTGTGAGGGTTGTGCCATGTTCCTTTCTGTCAAACATATCGACCACGTCCACAAGGACCTCCCCTCCTTTGCCCCCCCAGCAGTGAAGCTTATGACAGGCTTGAACTTCTTTTGTGTGTACACTGTGTAGCCGTTGCTGCCGAGTGTCCAACTCCTCTAGATATCCCACTTATCTGCTTTCTAAACAGCAGCAGGGGACGGAGGGCGAAATATCAGTGATGGGCCACATGAACTGCTTTACCTCTTTCTGAACAGTGTTCGAATCAATAGGGAAACGATCTTAAATGATGTCATTTGCCCTTTGGCCATCTCTCCGGCGACAGCTCGATAATGTACAAGTCGTTGAGGCCCTTCCTCTTATTGTGTTTGTACGAAGTCAAATGGCACCCAGTCCTGGTACAAAAGCTCTTCCCCGGTATGCTTCTGACCTCTTCTCTGGAGTGTTTTCAACCGGCGACCATTGTGTTGTGGATAGAGGGCTGGCGTTGTCGTTGCCGACCTTTGCAGCGGTGGTGGCCTGGCAAGAATGGCCAACTGCAACCCTCGGTGGTCCTCGCTGGGTCGCTCTCTGTCTTCCTCCCCAGCTTGTCCCTCAGAAGTATGCTTGCAGCATTCCACACCGCTATTGGAACCTTCCCTCCTTGGCACCGTAGGTGACCGAAGATGGGCCTCTGTCTCGTCCACCACTGCTCTTTCTACCCACCTCACATGGCTCCACCTCCGTGTCGTCTGTCCCTCAGAAGTATGCTTGCAGCATTCCACACCGCCATCGAAACCTTCCCTCCTTGGCACCGTAGGTGACCGAAGATGGGCCTCCGTCTCGTCCACCACTGCTCTCTCTACCACCTCACATGGCTCCACCTCCGTGTCGTCTGGTGTGCTTTTCTCCGCCATGTACGCATGGAGCATCCTCTTCGCCGCATCCTGTTCAATCCGCGCCTCGTCTCATGCAAGCAGCAGGTGGCAGCAGCTTGCCTCGTGTGCCCATACATTGCCCCCTACCCCTTTCTGGTGAAGTGCTCCACCTGCTCGCATTGTTGACATCATCGACAATGTCTTGCGCAGCCTGTAAGAGACCCGATACTGACCGTTACCTTTTGGCTGCGCCTGCTCGATCCAACAAAATACTGTCTTCTCCCGCTGCACCTCGTACTGGCGAGGTTTTAGTTGCAGCATGAATTTAGGCGATGGCTGCGATGCGTTCCTGTACATGGCTTCCCTTTCTTGAGGAAGTGCTCCACCGCTCGAATTGTTGACATCGTGAATAATGTTTTGCACAGCGGGAAAGGTTCCCAATACTGGGCGCAACCTTTTGGCTCTGCCATCTGCCCCCGTTTAATCCGACAAAATATTTTCTTCTCCCGGCCTCTGCAAGTAGTGCCGACGAGATTATCGGTGGCGGCATAAAATCAGGCAGCGGGTGCAATGGATTTGCCGTTTGCCTGGCTCAGGGATGGCATGGAGCAAATGGGGAAATTGTGCCCTGGTACATGTAGGTTTCATGTACCAGGGCACAGTTTTCCCCTACTGGGTTCGGAGAAGCCTACATTTACGAACTGAAAAAAAAAAGAAAACAACCCTTCAGGGTCTGCCCAGCGGCAAACATTACCTCCTACTGGGTCACAGCGACTTTGATTCGAAAATGCATTTGTTAAATCTGTTTTGGCCCTTTGGGCCTTTTTGGCGTGAATGCCTTTTTCATGGACAAAGCCAGTTTTGCTTTTTCTTTTCAATTCTTTTCCCCCTGATGAGGAGTAGCCTAAGCAACATCTCCGATTGTTTCTTAATCTCTCGTCCCTGGAAATCAGAGTTAAAAAAAAAAGAAAAAAGTTGCAGAGTTAAAAAAAAAGAAAAAAGCTGCCGAAGTGGTGATACTCAGAAATTTGCACACCCCCAGGCACCTCCCCGGAGGGCCGGTAGGCCGAAGTTTTTTTTTCTTCTTTTCTGTGTCCACTGCAAAAGATACAGTGTAAGCTATGTAGCCCTGGCTGAACTTGTGGTTTAAAAAGGTGAAGAAGTAGTAGTAGTAGAAAAGAAAAAGAAAAAAGAAGAAGAACTGGAACGAAAATCAGAATGGCTGAACTTGTGGTTTAAAAAGGTGAGGAAGTCTTTTCTGTGTCCACTGCAAAAGATTCAATGTAGGCTATGTAGTATGTAGCCCTGGCAAAAAAAAAAAAAAAAAAA